CTCGGAGCGGCCGGGCCGGGCCCCCGTCCCACGGAAGCCCCCAGAAGCCGTGAGCTTCCAGACCCCCACGTCAACATGAGGTCTGAGCATCCAGGCTCGGCGTTAACGAACCCAGGCCGGCGCGCTCCTCGCCACGCAAGCTCTTACTGGGCAGGACATGAGGGCAAAGCAGGTGTCACCGTCCCCTATAACAACGACATCTCTCCGATACACGAGAGAGTCTTGCAAACCATTCGCACTAGTAAATATAAAGCTTAAAAAGAAAAACAAAACCAAAAGTATTCAGGGTAACCGGCGTCAGATTTCAGCATCACATCCCCTCATATATATTCAGCAGGTAGAACACTAGTTTTGTTTTGTTTGTTTGTTTTTTTATTTCTCAGAATGTTTTACTTCCTCTTTAGGCCCACAATAGTGTAATTGCAGCACCAATATCATTCTGAGTCATTGTAAGTCAACACAAACGCGTACTTTGCAATGGGAATACTAACAGCACTCTTCTCCAACAGCAAAATGTTATTTGCTGTAGCAAAAAGGCTAATTTGATACCCAATGCCATTTGAAATGGATACCTTAACGCCTTCACAAATCCAATATAGAGACAAGTTAACCTGCAAAGGCACATGCTTTGTGTTTGCTTACTGCCAACTATGTTCATACTGAGGAAGATAGGAGTATTTCCCAGGTGCCTGTTCCAGGTGTTCATCAGCTGCATCTGATAAAGGAGACATGGACACATGTCATCTTCCTCCTTGTGTCCTGATTTCTATGGGAAGGAAAGAGGAAAATATGAGCCAAAAGGGAGTTGTATCTCCAATACAGGCAACCGTATGACAAGGTGTGCAGAATACACTGTGCTCTTACCCCTAGTCTAGACAGCCTAAATAATGACATCACATGCTATGAGAACCATTTAGAAGGAGCTTCCCTTTTTTCTATATGGCATTGAAACAAAATGTTTATACTACCTCAGATTAGAAGACTTGCAACTGTTTAGTCACTGGTGCTGGAGAGCACCCAAGCCTCTACTCAGAAAGCATGTTACAGACTCAGTGTTGTAGAAGTCACATAAAAAGAAATCTCCAAAGCACATAATCAGAATAAAATTAGTTGCCATCCAGCACGATACAGACAAAGTTTGCTTTACTGATAGCACAGTTAAAGTACTGAATGCAGGCTTTGGAAATCTGGGATCTATTCCTGGTCTATTGGTGACCTCCAGAAAAATCACTTAAGCAAGTACATGCCTCCTTTTTCTTGTCTTCAGAGTTGATATAAAGTACATGCCTCCTTTTTCTTGTCTTCAGAGTTGATATAACACATTTTTTTTTGTAATGAAGCTTTATAATACTTGCACTGGAAGCTATTATTTTAGTAGCTGTCATACTTATTGTGATCGTTGATTCTGGTGATGCACAGGAGGACTTCACCCAGAAATTTGCTTCCTCATCTCATTCCACCGTTGCTCTGAAGATGGCTAGTCCATACTACCCAGTGTCCCCATAGGAGCAGCTTCCTCCTTCACAGCTGCACTCCTCCATTTGGTTATCTGCCTCATGCAGAAAACACTTTTCCCATTAAAACTGATGTTCACAGCAGCCTGAGGCTACCCAGACAGCACCTGCAGTCACAGAAGTGAAGCAACAATAAAGAGAGAAAAGAAATCTGAAAGAGGGTAGAAGCTGCAAAGAAGGAAGTTGCACTAAGTTTACGTACTTGATTTAAATCATCTTTTGGTGCACCTACTTCTCTTCAATGACTCCATGCAAAGCTTTTCATTTTAGGTGAACTGAATCATGCCTAAGATATTTTTAAACATCTGTAGCAGATAATGCGAATATGCCCAAAATAGACCTTGTTGTATTTAAATCACGTGCCACTCACTAATCTTGCAGTCTATGAAGGATTTTCACTGAAAGGACTTTGACGTTCACCTCTGGATACCATCTTGCTCAGTTAGGAAAGAGCCAGTATCGCAGGAGGGATAAATCAAGAGTTGCTCCACTGAAGTCCAGAATAGTATCTTGTAACAAAAATCGTGCTAAGGTTGCAACGCTTTCCCCATCGTCAGGAAAAGCCTCATCTTCTGAACTCAGTTACTTACCGCCATCTCCTACCAGGAGTCCTTGCTCCCACCAGTCCGCTTGAACTTATCCGAGTGACTTTGCCTGTCAGGAAGAAACACTTCCGGCTCCAGCTTCAGTACAGGAGCACTAGCCTCTTCCACTGACTTGGCTGGATCTCGAAAGGGATGCTTTCACATACTGTCAAAGCACCAAACCTGTAACACTGTTGCTTCAGCTGGCCTTCACTCAGAGAGCTAGACAGGCAGCAAGCCCTCCCAAAAAACCACCAAATTTCAGCATCACTCATTTCAAGTAAAGAAACACCTCTTATGCGTGCACAGTACCAAGGGAAAACTCTGCGATTCTGCCATGAGACAGCTATCCATCACAGTAAATTCCTTTGTTCTGCTCCTCTTTCCAAATTAAACAGTAAATCACTTGTTTCAAGGAACAGTTACCTTTCTTCACACAAAAAAAGTCTTGAAGTCTTGTTCAAATACAAAAATGGATTACCTGGGCTGGTTCAAACACTAAGTCTAAGGAATGGGATAGAATTGGAATAAGCAGAGGAGAAAATGTTTATTTTCTAAATAAGTCTAAATTTATTCATTACCCTAGTAAAAAAAAAAGTTTGGATTACAAGTGTCTGAACAGTATAAAAGTAAAAAACAGGTTCCATAGATTTCTAATACATTAATACAAAGTGCATGACTACATACAGTTCATCTTGCATTACTACCAGGAATGGAAGAGGTGGGAGGGAGTAGGGGAAGCAGTTGGCAGTTGAAATCTAGCAATAAATAAATAAATACAGAAGAAGAGATGATCCATATCAGAGCATATCCTACCACCAACACTGCAGCCTTAGGCGCACAGAATTATTGATGCTGAAAACACAAATTCAAATGGAAGAAGGTATCTGTAAAACAGCCCTCATTAGACACGACCAACCTAGTCAAGCAGTTACACAAGCAAGTATCCATTTATTTGGTTGCAGATGAAAGCATGGTATGCAGCTTTATCCTCCCTTCAGAATCTCAGAGAGTTTAGGAAAAGCAAAATAAGAACAATGAAAGCTGTAAGGCTGTGATAAGTCAAAGCTCCATTTCCCCTGATGTTCTCTTCAGAGGTTGGGTTTCCCAACACAAGGAAAAAAAGAGCTTTGAGGGTGGAGGCTCCTCTTAAAACCTGCACGCTTCCCTACCCATGTTTTTATTTGCTAATCATTCCCATTTCAGGAAGTGAGATTACATGGAAATCCAGTCCTAAGCCCTACCCACCAAAATATTATGCTGACAACTCACACAAAAAGGAAAGCTTGTAGCAGTCCATTGCAGAATATCCCAAAAGAGTAATAATAAAAAAAAATCCCCTCCCCCCAAATCAGAAACAAATAAAAAAAGCAGAATTCCCAGGGTACACAAATTAAACCTTCATAAAAGGAACATGAAGCAATTGGGAGCTAAAACTGCAGCACACTCTTCCAGGAAGCTGCTTTCACCCTAAAGGCAAAGAGGAGCATGAAGGAGCGTCACAATGGTCTGTACAGAAGTTTGACTGGGAACGTGTGTAGGAAATACTACCTTTTGATTTCATATGCAGAGAGCTGCCTCTATTCGGTACAGTACCATTCTTAACAGAACTCCTCATAATTTGCAGTAAGTCCAGTACTCACAGAATTGTTGATCTGCTGGTTGTTTAACAAGAAACACAGAAGCACTGCAGGGGAAGGGTTCCAAAACAGGAATCTTGAATCCAGACCCCAAGCTAGGATTGAGTTATGTCCCCAGACTAGAACCTGCCTTGTTTAGCCAGGGGGTTTGGTTCTGTCACATTCAAAACCAGCAAGAAGTCTGTTTCATGGTCACATTTCAGCTACCTTGGGCCAACAAATACCAGTTACTCAGTTTTGGCCCTCATCTACACCTAACTTGGTCTAACTTGGTTGTTGCCTTGGTCCACCTCTAATCACCTGTCAGTCACTACAGGAGGCCTAGGGTGTCCGCTGCTGGGCTAAAAGGAAGTAGCCTTCCATTTCTCTATGGTCAGTTCTTCAGTACATCTTCCTCCTTAGCTGAGGAAGAGAGCTCTCCTGCTCCTTCTTGAGAGCATTTTACTTTGGGGGCCTTCTCAGATAACTACTGCTTACACTACAGATGTCTGCAGGTACCAGTCAGTGTCATGTAGGAGGGATGCATTATTTGTCTTTGTTACAATGTCAGTAGTATAGGGTGAGAACTCCACACCTTTAAAAAATATATATTTA